TAATTTTTTAATATTTATAATAATATACTATATTATAAATTTATAAAATTTGGTGATATTTTATAAAATTCGGAACCAAACGGATCTAGAGGAAAATAAGAAATTCATTAAAGAACTGAAGTGGACAGGCGGTCCCCAGATTCTGTTCTGTTCTGTAATGTTAATAATGGCCGCCATGGGGCAGTTGGGCGTATGTAAACAAAACGACAGCTTGAGAATCCTCCTTCTGGCTTCTTCTGCTTTTTCTCTACCTTTTTTAGCAACATTTTTTGTGATCCTTACCTTTTTGAGCTGGATTTTTTGTGATCATTTTTAGTAGACTCTTTCTGGGATGTTCTAACTTTTTGATAATCACTTTTGGCAAAGGAAGTGGATTGGATTCTCCACTTTTCAGCAAACCCATTTATAAAGTTTGAAACTTTGAGGGGAGGCAGAAAGGGAGATGCTCCTCACTCAGTTGCAGAACTCGCAGCCATGGGTATTCTTCCCTCACCGAGTTCAGAAGCTATCCCGGTTTTCCTTCTTAGAAGGGTAACACTATTATTTTTCATTTTTCAAGGCTCTATTTATTTTTGATTCTTTCCTGGGTTGTTGGGATTTGGTTTTAGTTCTGGTGGTTAATTGGTAATATGTTGGTATTAATCATACAATTTACATTTAAAGACTTAGTTTTGAAGCTAAAAGTTTTGGTTTTTACCTACTGTGTGTTTTTAATCTGCGTTGGATCAAATCAATCTTGAAGGCATTTTGCATTTTCTGCAAATGTGGTGGTTATGGTAAAAAGTTTAGTTGATCCACTCCTTTAATCCAGGTTATCTAGAAGGGATGAGGTGAGGGGGTGAAAGGTTGCGTTCTATGATTGTGTTTATCAGTATCTTGATATGTGGAATTCTTCTGGAGATTTTGTATTTGTTGGAGACAGAGATGGATCCAAAAAATCAGTTAGTTTGACTGCAATATTTAGTCAAAGCTGAGGCACCAGCAGAATGACATTGGTTGACTTAGTTGTGAATGCGAGAAAATGCTTCTTCTGCAAGTTCAAGTGATGAATGAATCAGAGTCAAGTTGCTTGATTGGAGATGAGAGTGATTGATTTCAAGAACATTTCATGAATGCTGTGTAACATACAATTGGGAAATGTGGCATTGAGGTGGCCCAAGTGTGGTTGAAGAATTGGATAAGGTTATGAAGTAAGTCTGGCAGAAACAAATGAATTTATGAGCTTTGAGCAACATGAATTATTGGCAAGCTGGTGATTTAGAGGATTAAGAATGGTTGGATTGAGTGTTTGGGGCAGCATGACTTAGCTTTTATGTTAGGATCTTTGCAATGGAAATGGGGCAACAATCAGCTCAGATTGTTGAGTCTGGAAGAGAAAGGAGATAATAAAGGGGTTATGTTTTTACAAGAACTCTAAACAAGTTGACTAATAAACCCTAGTTCTTTTAAAACTAAACAAACAATTTTTTGGAGCAAACAAACTTAATGAATTTATACTTCCCTGTTTAAGAAAACAAAAAGGTTAAATGAAATCCATTTTTCTAGTTTTCTTTCAGCCCTAGATTGGGGGGCAAAAGACATACTAATGTGTGGAAATGAAAACAGCCAGGAAGTTAAGTGCATCATTGAAAATTGTTAATTAACTTGATTTGCTTGATTATTGAACATAAACAAGAGATTATTCTGCAAAAAATAAAAAATAAAAAAAAATAAAAAAATCTGGATCCAGTCTTCTTTAGCAATAAATGCTGTAGTTGTCTATGTCAAACAACCTCAATTCAGGGTTTACTTAGTTCATAACTCTAGTCTTGTCATGTGTTATTTTGCATGCTCTACTTATTGAGTATAATTGAAATCATTTAATGCTGATTTAAAAATGTTGAAATCATGTCATAATTGTTTCAGCAAAAAAGCTTATAGTTTTGAGGGTTCCTGCTGTGAGTTTCCTTTTTCATTTGCTTTTTATCTTTTTTGCCTTTCAAATGTTTACATATAGAGTCTAATATATGGTAAAGCATGTATGCAATAAAAAGGTTTTGTTTGGAGTAGTCATGAATTTCTTGAATTATATTATACAACTCATGGAATAAGCTGGTGACATGAAATCAAACCTTTCAGGGAATCAATTTCGTGTCACTTTTGGAGGGCCAAGTCTCCTTGTTTTGATACATATAGTTTGGTGAGACAAAATAGAGGTGAGTCATCGCCATTTGCAGTCAAGAGTTTCTGGAATTATATTATCAGAAAATGATGACAGTTGAAACCATGCTCTGTTCTACTGTCATACTCTATGTTTTGCTATCTTGTGTTGATAAATTATCTTGGCTTCCTCTTTGCATTTCATATTTATTCTGATAATTTTCTTTCCCCAGGGATACAGAGGGTTACTTCTCAAAGGAGACTGGATAAATTGGATTCAACTATGTATATGGATGTTTCACTTTCACATGATTTAACTTCCAAATCCCCTAGGATGGACCCTGGTGGCAGTTCTAAGGTAAGAATTTAATCTGAAAATGCTAAAAAGAAAAATGGATGCCTGTACCGTTTGGTGGAAAATGGATTGTTCTTTATTTTGGCATGATTTCTCATATTTTTCATGATATGCCAGTATCTTCTTAATTATGGTATGCGTATGTTTCTTGATTTTTCTTACATGACACTGGTTCTTAATATGCTGAACTTCTTAGAATTGTTGTATATTACTCAATTATTAGGTGAGGTTGTTATTCAGATTGCCGAGTTCTTCAAAATGATTTGGCTTTTGTATGGGTGGAAGCCCACACCTCTTTCCATGGTCCTGGGAAGTATTTACCCTTGATTCTTCATCTATGTCATTGCTTTCTTTTTATTATTTTATTAACCATTCTTGCATAAGCTTTAAGGAAAATGAGGTATGGACGTAATATGTGCACTGTTGCTTTATTGTTATTGTTATGTCTCAACTTGTTGAAACTAGTATTATCATCATCCTTTTCCTGAAAGGTGTCAACGTGTTTTTTTTTCTTTTTTATTTAAGTTATTTCTAATCTTAAAATTTTCTAACAATTTTGAGTCATTACTGCATGTGCAGGGCTACCAAATTGGAGTGATTAGTGGAGCTGTCTCATCAATTTTGCTGTTGAGACTGGTGCAGTTGGATTTTGTTAATACTATAGTTAAGATGGTCAAAAACTTACTTCCACGTGTGGTTCTGACTTCTGGATCTATGAGCGTACCTTTTGCTTGCATATCCAATTCTGTGAATAAACCTACACCACTTAAGTTGGATGTTTCCCGATCTTCTTTACAAGATGTCCAATGGAACTTTGCAAGGCCACTGTATTTATTCAATGTTCAACTAGAGAAAAATATTGCCATGTAAGCAAAAAGTATAAGCTGCTTCATTTCTGACAAAAAGAAGTTATTGCATTTAGGGTCATGGGCTTAGTTCACAGTGCTTCCAATTCATTTTAACTTCTTTTTTTTTTTTTTGTCATCATCAGGTGATAAAATGTTAGCTTGGCATCATTTTATTTTATTTTATTTTCATGATTTCCTCATTTAATTTGGCATACAATGGAACTCTCTAAAGCAACTTTATTAAGTTTGAAAGGCAATGAAGCCTTTTCTTCACCCCCCCCCCCCCTTTTTTCTTTTCTTTTAAAAAAAAAATTCCTATCTGGGTGGTTTTAGTTGGCCAGATTGTGTGCAGTGGTGATGGTCTTATTTGGATAAGCACAAAAGTGCATATTTGACTCTTGAGAGTGGCTGCTTTTTAGCAAAATGGGATTATTTCCATACTACACTCCCTTCTAAGACTATGCTTTGTCTGGACCAAACTTGATCATGATCATTTATCTGATTTTTCCTTTATCTTTGAAGTAATTTGAATTTTGATGAAATCCAGCAGACAGAAGCACCTAACTATTAGTATATAGCTTACTACTAGTAAATTATGCTTGTAGCCAGTTTAAAGTTGTTTATGTAGCTTATCTACTGTTTACAATATCTCCTGTGAACTTCTTGCATCTGCACATACTTGTAATTATGGCTTTGCATTGTTCATGATCGAATGTTCACTTATAAAATCTTGCAGATTCTTTGTGGTTCTGCTTGTAGCATGTTTCTCATTTGTTCTCATTGGTGGTTTCCTCTTCTACAAGTTTAGGTGATCTACAGTCTATCCCTTTTTAACATAATTTTAATATGGTTATGTTTTATCAATGGCATGTGCAGTGTGGTGTTGTTTTCTAATGTTTGACCATTCCGCAATAAGTTCCATATTTTGAAGAATGTGGTCAGAAAAATTCAAAAAATTAGAAGGCTTTGAAAGGAATTCTATAGTTTAAACTTATTGACATTTATGTACCACAATAACTGGTGGTACGATGAGTTGTTTCCCACTTGTTTAATTTCTCTCTTTGATTCTTAGTTCCTTTTGAATCCTTACCTGTTCTATTCTATTTGCCATGCATAGTACAGTATCATATTGATTTACCTAATGTTAGGTGGATGTTCTTATTCATGGATTTTTCCTTTGATGACCTTTTGATTAAAAGATAACAAAAATAAAAAGAAAGTTCTTATTCATTATAAGAATAAAGGTTCTATTTGTCTCAGTTTCTGTTATAGAGTAAACACTGCAAAAATGATATAAAAGCTTTCCCCATTTGCTCTTTTTTAAAAAAAAAAAAAAAATTATTTTTTAGGTGGTTATCTTACTACACACTTTTCAAATGTTCCTTCTGTCATTGACAGATCTTTTGAGGATGAAACTTGCTATGCCTATTCCTATTGTCAAATCTAGTATGTATCTAATATCTCCAATGACACAGGGGGGGATCACTTTCCTTAGAAGAATGCTTCTGGGAGGCCTGGGCATGCCTATGTTCATCATCTACTCATTTAAGAGTTTGTGGCATCATACAATCAAATAATTTCTTTTGTTTCAATATATCTTTGCTTTCATATTGCCTACACTGTCAAAGACTGACGTGGAATTTAATATCTGATAAACATATTTATGGGTTGAGCTGCAGCAAAGAACACGTGTTGAACGTGTTACTGGCTTTATTCTTGCTATATTGGGCATATTGGTCTACTCCCGTCTGTTAAGCACAATGACAGAACAATTCAGGGTAACCACTTGCAACAAGCACTAACATTTACTTTGCCTTTCCCTCTTCCCCCACTTTTTTTTTTTTTAACCTTTTTAATTTAATTATTTTCTTTTGTTGCTCATGACCCTTGGCATTACTTGAGCAGAGTTTAGCCATGTACCAAGCTGGCATCCTTGAGATCTATTCTTTTCTGTTTTATGTGTGTGGTGTCTTTATTTTATTTTATTTTATTTTTTTGTTGGACAGAGTAACATGCAAAGGCTTAGGGAAGGGGCACAAATGCAAGTTTTAGAGACTGATCATATCATCATCTGTGGAGTTAACAGTCATCTGACTTTCATACTGAAGCAGCTAAACAAATATCATGAGTTTGCTGTCCGCTTAGGTATTGCTACAGCTAGGTAAATATTAGGATAGTGCAAAGTATCCATGAGTTTTTTCAAATGCATAAGACTTCTTTGATTATATTGGAATATATGTCTCTAGGAGGCAGAGAATTCTTCTTATGTCTGATTTTCCAAGGAAGCAGATGGACAAGGTAGCTGACAATATTGCTAGAGATCTTAACCATATTGATATCCTTACCAAGAGGTACTAGTGCCAAGTCTTTTTTTCTTTTGTAATATCCATATACAAGACATCAAAATAAAATCTCAGAAGACACTGAAACCTAGTACATGGAAGCTTAGGAGAGAAACTGACAAATAGGATAATACTAGAAGGAAAAAAAATTATCTTAACATTTTTGGAAAGAAGGGGTGAACAGGAAGAATATTTATTGAATCCTACCATTAGAGGTGTCACTTTCTGTCTTTCTTCTTGAGATGTTAGTCTTTTGGGTCATGTGTTGTCTTTTTAAATTTTTATGACAATTTATTTGTCTGACTGTGCTCAACAAGGCTGTTAGGAGTGGGCTTATAACCGAGCGCTCATGATCTACTTGACTCTGGTTATTTTTCCAAATCTTATTTTTGTTTCCACCTGTGCAGTTGCAGCCTTAGTTTAACAAAATCATTTGAAAGAGCAGCAGCCGATAAGGCTCGTGCCATTATCATACTGGCCACAAAAGGAGATCGGTGAGACCATGATTGGCTTCAAATAAATGTGTTTTGTTGATGGATTCAGTTTAGTTGTAACCAAAATGGAGAAATTATCTTTGTTCTTTAGATTGCAACAGGAAAATGATTAATATGATTAAAGACCCTGGAAAAGAAAAGGGAAATATATTCTTTATCTCTCTGTTTACTCTTCATTGCATGTGTCTGGAATTATCTCTGTCCCAAGTTACTGCCTCTTTTCATCTTGAAGGAGGACTATCAGATGGATAAATAGCAACATGAGTGAGGATAAAATGAAATAATTAATTCACTAGTCAGACGTTGGTTTTCCACCCATTTGGTAATATGATTGAATTGCTTGATATGGGTGGTAAATGAAGACCATTCATTGTTTGTAAGTAAACAATGTGGCTTAGAATGAAGTGATGGTATCCATTTTAGAACAGCAATAGTGATATATTTTAGTGGCTCTGCTGTGATCATGTTTATCTGCTTGTATGATTTTATTTAGCTAATTTTACAGCAATAACAGCTATTCTTAGCAAAAATTTATTGACACCAGTTCTTAAACTCATTAGGTATGAAGTCGACACTGATGCATTTCTATCCGTACTGGCCCTTCAAGCTATTCCTAAGATGGAATCTGTCTCCACTATTGTTGAGGTATGATGTTAGTAGGAAAATTGAATATATGGTATGATTCTTCTAATCTACCATGCCTGAATTGTAGTGGAATTTGTCTTTTCTACTGAGTGCAGGTTTCAAATTCTAATACATGTGAGCTCTTGAAGTCAATCTCTGGATTGAAAGTAGAGCCAGTAGAAAACGTTGCTTCAAAATTGTTTGTTCAATGTTCACGGCAAAAGGGACTCATAAAGATCTACAGGCACTTGCTTAACTATCGAAGTACAGTCCTGTTCATTTTTATTTGTTTGGTTCAGTCTCTTCAAGGATTAAAAAAAAAAAAAGAAAAAAAGAAAAGAAAAGAGAAGAAAACCTGAAACTAGCATTGGGATGGCCTTTAGTTGGGTTACTTGTTCTGTTGTTCTGATTCTTTAACACTAGGTGATGTCATAGATTTTTACTGTAATACTAATTTTGCTGTCTTTTCTTGTAGAAAATGTATTTAACCTTTGCAGTTTCCCTAATCTAGCTGGAATGAAGTATAGGCAAGTAAGACATGGGTTTCCAAAGGTATTGCCTTCTGTCAAACAAAATTCTGCCCATGAAACAACTTCCATGCAGTTCTCTTATGTTTTCTTTATTCACATTGATATTCTTTCAGGCAGTTGTTTGTGGCCTTTACCGTGGTGGGAAGATCTATTTCCACCCAAATGATGAAGAAATTCTGCAGCAGACTGACAAAGTATGTAGGGTTGTGAATTTTTGAATGTCTGCATTCATGTTCCTCATTCTAAAATAAACAAAGCACCAGAATTTTGACTAGCAAAGTTTACAATACTGATGGCAGTACATGTAATAATTCAAAGAGTGCTGCTTATTTTGTCACATGCCAGAATATCAACTACTTGGTGAGTGAAGGATTTGATGAGTAGGAAAATGGTGTATGACTAATTATAAATCTTTTTTCTAGTTATATTTGGACAGATGATTTAACTTTTACATACTTTTGACGGATGAGTTAAAACTATTATATTTGTATTAGAAGAAAGTTTGCATGTGTGCAGAGTTTCATGAATTAGTTAGTCATGCAAATTCCTCACCTGTGAAAATATATGATGACTTTCCATAATATTGGTTGACATAAAGTCCACTGAAGATTCTGTGTCTATTGCATTCCTTCCCTGGTCACATTTGTATATTTCCTGACATTTATCTCTTCTCTGTTATGTAGATATTGTTTATTGCACCTGTTCATGGCCGTGGGACCAAAAAACAACCTCCACTTTCAGACGACGTTAATGAAGGAAGAAGTGTGATTCAAGGTTCGGAAGTTTTAGAAAATAATGCTGCTGACACTACAAACCAGGCTCTAGAATTAAAAAAAGCAGGACTAGTACATATTGTACAACGCCTGAACATATCAGGATCTAAGGTATGCTTTCTGAATATATGAATGCCTTGAGTGAAAGCATCATTCTAAGTTCTGTTAGTCACTATCTATTCATTTGCTCATAAACCAGACATCAGACAGTAGTCTTGGACCCAAAGAATGCATACTTCTGCTTGGGTGGCGCCCAGATGTTATTCAAATGATTGAAGAGTATGATAATTATCTTGGCCCTGGTAGTGTGGTGGTATGCATTTATTCTCTTTCTGGAATCCTCATAATACCTAAAATTTCAACCACAACCATAGTAATTGCTGAGTTTGTAAGATACACCAACTTATATTTGAGATCAGAGAGTAATTGACATGGAGGGGATCTTGGGGGTGGTCACTGATTGCCTATAAACATGCAGGAAATATTATCAGATGTCCCGTTAGATGACAGGAACAGAGCAAGCGGTGTTGCTGGTCAAGGAAAACTCAAAAACATTAAGGTTTTAAATAGGGTATTGCCTCATCCAGTTAATCAGGGTGAAAGTTTTTCACATATTCTTAGCCTCTCTTCCCTTTCATGGATGAGAAAGAAAGGAAAAAAAAAAAGGACTAGTGGCTTTAAGGCCTGCTTTGCTTTCCTTGTAATGGTTAACTTTCGTTTATGTCTTGCAGGTTGGAAACCCGATGAGCTATGATACCTTAAAAGAAACTATAACAAATATTCAAAATTCTGTTAGGAAAAATGAAGATGTTCCTTTGTCAGTTGTTGTAATTTCTGATAGGGAATGGCTTGTAGGAGGTAATAATACATAAAGTTCTTGTTATGTTATTTATTTATCATTTTGTTGGTAAAGTTTCAGTTGGTTTATTATAGATTATATGAGTATCTACTCTACAGATTCATCCAGGGCTGACAGACAGACGGTCTATTCTCTTCTTCTCGCTGAAAATGTCTGCAATAAACTCGGAGTGAGGGTGAGTATGGTTTACCATGAGATGGTGCCCTTTCAGATTTTTTTGTTTTCATTTAGTAAATCAGAAGAGTGAAGACAGTTATCTTGTGTTTTGTAGGTGCAAAATTTGGTTGCAGAGATTGTTGACTCAAAATTGGGAAAACAAGTAATACTTCTTCCAGCCAAAACTTGCAGTTTCTCAGATCTAAATCTATGACTTGCTTGGGATTTTCACATCTTTACATCCTGCTATCCCTGCAGATTGCAAGAATCAAACCATCCCTCACTTATATAGCTGCAGAGGAAGTGATGAGCCTTGTAACAGCTCAAGGTCTTTAATCATCATATTACTATTTCAGTATTTACGTCGTTTCCATCTCTAACATTAACAATACATTCTCTGTTGTCCATAATAGTGGCGGAGAACAGTGAACTGAATGAGGTGTGGAAAGACATTTTGAATGCAGAGGGTGATGAAATTTATGTCAAGGTAATTACTTTCTTCCTGATATAAAGTGTCTACTTTTAAACTTGAAAAGAAAACTTAGCTTTAGATGAAATCACCATTTTAGCCGTCATCTGTCATGTTATAAAAACGGATCATGTTCAAGATTAGACGCAGACACCACCATATATACCATATGCTAATTTCTATGTCTACCTGATGTGATATTAGAGATTTTCATGGAGATTTTGTTTAGGATTATAATTCAACTACCGTAGTGAACCCTTTCAAGCTACCACTGTATATAGCAAGAATAGTGAACGGAGACAGTTAGGAGCTTGGATCCTGCAATGAAAAAGTTCCTATGCAATAAGGCAGGCGAGTTATATTTGTTGTTGCTTGACAATTGCTTGTATGTTCCTACAGGATATTGGCCTCTACATGAAAGAGGGAGAGAATCCATCATTTGCCGAGTTAGCTGAGAGAGCACATTTACGTCGAGAAGTTGCCATAGGTTATGTGAAAGACAACAAAAAGGTATAGAAATCTTCTTTATCTGCGTTTTCAACAAGTTTTGCTTTAACATCTAATTCATTCTCTTTTAACACTTCAGGTTATCAACCCGATTCCGAAGACAGAACCGCTATCACTTGCATTAACAGATTCACTAGTTGTTATATCTGAGCTTGAAGGAGAGCAACCCATTGTTGTTGAAAATGTAAATTACAACCCGTACCATGCTTCTGCCTGATTCTTCTCCAAGGACATTAGGTTTCATTTTCGATCCATCATGTGTTCATTCACATGGAGAATTGTATGAAACTAGGAAGACGCTAGACTCTCTCATGTTACATATATTTCCTCATGCATGCTGCTACCTGCATATGATATATAGGAACACACCCTTTAATCTATTTTCTCGTTCCAAAATCAACATGTGCATATAATAGGAGCACTAGCCAGATCCCCTTTTCGATCTGGCTTATCCCCCATTCTCTACCCTTCCGTTTCTCCCACTTCAAACCTTAAAATGTATTAATTATCCCCTTCCAGCGAATGATCTAAGGGGTTTAGTACAAGTCTTCTTTCC